CCCCAAAACCCCAAAACCCCAAAACCCCATTGGAGTGTATACTTATAGAATATATAATATAATTCATATTAAGGAAATGAAATTATTAAGAAAGGAATCCTTTATTTTAAAGGTAAGAAAAGTATCTTCGCCTCAAAAAGACACGTGAGATTATCGGCATTCTTGAAAGCCTCCACTCTCAAAGGTTGGAACTAAGATAATCTCCATCTTTTTGTCACCAAAGTGCTTACTGCTTCTCCTAGTTTTTCTCTCCCAAGTTAGAGGATGATCAGATTCAGATCTTGATCTTCCTATCTCAAAATAAGATAGGGAGCTCTTTCACCACTAGTAATATAATTTTGGGAGTGCTGTCTTACTCAAGTCAGGATTCGATATACTTTATTTCTGAATTCACTAACAACGCCACAAATGATAAGTACATTGGTATTTTAAAAACAGACAGTGACTTCAATAGTACTATAATGAAGTCGATCAAAGAGAATCCGACAGACTTGGATTACTCCATGAGTGATGATGGGAACTACATCTACTTCTTTGTTGGCCTCAACGGGTAAGTTTCCTCTTTAAATAACTTATGCTCTCTTTTCCCTGTCTAAGGATAATTTGGTACAATTTTACAGGTATTATTTGCAATATTTTTGCTGCTAATTAACAGAAATTGCACCTTAAAAGCTTTCTGATACCTAATAAACGAATATTAAAATGTTTTTGATTACTTTTGGGCTAAATTTAAGGTATTTTTTTCTAGATTTTTCATTGAAATCAACTCTTCAGATCTTTCAATTAACAAGTACTTCGATGTTGACTCAGTAAATTTCTCAAACCTTGCTTTTCCAAAGACTCTTGGAGATGCTGGCTTTACTTCATCCTCCAATATCATCTTCTTCAATGCAAGATATGGAGCTGGAGCAATTTGGAGTGTTTGAAAATGGTCGAGACTCGCGGCCCAAGCTCAGTGCTTTGATTATGGAAGTAATCAAAAACTCATTTTCACTCCAATAGATGCTAATAATGTGTTCATTAGTCTCCAGATGTTTGGGAACACAAATCTTTACTTTGTCAAAGCAGACTACTCTAATCCTAGCTCTCTCAGTTGGCAGAAATATGTCCAGTGCTCTCCTTCTTGAAGCTCAGGAATCAATCGAGCTATTCTCAGCCAAGATCAAACATCGATATATTCTGTGCATTTCTTCGGAGATAATATTTTATTCTACTCGATTAATGCTACAAATGGAGATCCATTGAGTTCTGGGCTGATTATGAGTACTACGAATGGAGAACTAAGAGATATCGAAGAAATAGGACAGTACATCTCAATAGTTTATGTAGACTACACAGTGTCTAAAATTTTCATAGCTTTCATTGATAAGTTATCTTCTAGTATCACAAAAGAACTAGAACTTACAGGAGCTTCTGTTGTGGCATCTAAATATAAAGTTATCAATGGAGTTGAATACATTTTCATGGGTGGTACTATTGGGAATGTCTACAGACTTCTTAAAACAAAATATAGTAACATTGAAAAATACACGTTTACAAAACTTGTAAGCACAAAATTTTCCTCAAAAACATCTTTTCTACTTGAAGATCCTCCTTCGGCTTTACCAGCACTGAATCTTACCAACAAGAATGTAGCTGAAAACTTAACTGCTTCTCTGCAATTCTCTTCTGAGACTATAACCGAATATGATATTGAATATTATGGGGTTATCGACAAGGAAGACTTCAATAAAGCATATCTCCCTGATATCAAGATTGAAGAGTATCTCAATCTTACATGAAAGTATTCTTACGACTCGTTCCAGACAACTTATGACTTAGTTGAACTTGAAGGTGAGCAGATCCCATCCTGGATGACCTTCAATGAAACTGAAGAATCGATCCTTCTTAATAGGACTCCTAATGCTGAAAAAGAAACTCTGTTTAAATTTGGGATTGATATTGTTCATGCTTCTCAGAGCTCATCCAAGAAGGTCTACCTGACCATAATGCCTTGAGTAATATTAATTTGACGTTTAGACTATTTCAAATTGTCAGAGTTGACAGAATGATGATCCTCAAGTATGCACCAGTTGTTCTTTTGGGTACTCCTGGTCATCAGATCACAACAAATGTGAGAAAGCAGACGCCACTACTTCTCGGACTGTCGCACAAGTGGTTGCTGGAGCTTCAATGGGATTGGCGCTCACTTCAGCCTTATTAACAACGAGTTCTCCAGTAGGAATTTTCAGCACTGCAAATCAATTCCAGCTTTACCTTTTGCTTCCAATGTTACCTCCTTATTTTCCATCAAAAGTAGGCCAATTCATATTAGGGCTTGATTTTTCATTTGTTTCGCTAGATTTTATTCCAACTGACAAAATACCTCTGTTCAAAGAGCTTAAAAGATTATTTTCATACTCTCAAGAGAATGCTTACTTGGGAGAAGTAGGAATGAGTTCTGGCAGCTGCATTATCAATTACCTTCCGATGTTCTTCATAACTCTGATACTTGGAATATTTCATGCTACGGTTGGAATGATCTTTTGTAAAGTAAGAGACAAGCCTGAAAGTTCTAAGTGACGAAAAGCTGCTACCAAACTCTTCACATTTATGACTTTCAATATGTATATCCGATTCATTCTGGAAGGATTTCTGTTCCTGATGTTATCTATTGGGGCAGAGTTCAAGGCCTTCAACACAAATCTGACAATCCCATTATTGTCGTTAATAATGGCGGGGTTCTTTAGCTTTGGGGTTATAGTGTTCCTGGCTCTACTTAGTTGCTGGTTCTTAGCAGAGCGGTAAGATAATCCTGATTTTTAGGTCACAAAAAACATCAGAACTTCACAATCACTGGAGCATTTCTGAGTTTCAGTCAGGATTGAAGAAATCCCGATCAGCAAAATTTAATTCGTGAATGTTCGTATTAATCAGGCTCTTGTCAGTAATGACTCTACTTTCGTTAAGTAAACAAGATGAACCCATGAACAGAGATGTTAAAGGAAACTCTCTAGTATTATTCTACATTGAAGGGATATTATTCCTGATAACTCATTGAATTTCTTGAGGATATACATTATGGGTGAGACCTTACGAAATAACTCAGAATAATATCATCGAAGCAGTTAACCAGATTTGTTATATATGAGCTATAATTCCTTTGATGGTATTAAAAAGGGAGTCTGATTGGTCATCAGCTAAAGAAGACGTCTACATCTTTTTATTACTTTTCCCTAATCTTTTCTCTTTCTGTGTAAATTTGGCATATCTTTTTGCAAATATCTTCAAAAAGAGAGCACAAGTAGAACCTCGTGTTAGGACAAATATGCAATGTAAGCTTCAAGAACTTATTCCATATAAATTTTCTTGGAATCTCTCTTTCTTGGTTACATTTTGATTTCTAGACTCTAACAACTCTAACTGCCAAGGAAGAAATATGAGCAAGATCGGCTTGAACAGATCAAATCAGTAAGTTCAGCAAGAATTTACTGAGGTTTATAAGAAATTGGATAGTTAATATTCCTATTAAGTTCTATTTTGTGACATTTTTTAGGGGTTTTGGGGTTTTGGGGTTTTGGGG